GGAAACAACCTCACCGTTCATTTGTGCCCCGAGATTCAAAACCACCTTCGTCCATTTTGAAATTCGTTACAAATTTCGATGTCACCCTACGACAAATATTATTCACCGTCTACAAGAGACTAAGGATACACTAAAACAAGACTTGACATTATTTTCAGGAACTATGAGGCCATGCAGCTAGTGGCCGAAACACAAATCGCCACAGACCTGCTCTCACACCAAGAACAGAGGGTAACGAGAGAAAAACACGACAAAAACACAAAAAAAAGGATAAGAAACAAAACTGTAACTGAGATGCGATTAAAAAACAAGAACAAATTCAAAAACATAGTGTAAAATAAGGCATGCATGAAAGCAGAAGATGTAGTACAGACACACGTGCCTGCTGTCAAGCACCAACTATGAAACAATCCATGTTACCATCAACTCCTTTTCACTCCACACAATCACCGTTTGTCTATCTCAAAAACCCGCGTTTGTGTCTTGTCCACCGACATCATATCTAAACAGACTGCATAGTCATCCTTTCTCTCCCAACCACCAACATCATATCCTCGGATGCCTTGGGTCCTCAGCACCTCAATAAATTAGAGTCTTGTCTCATATAGTGATACCATAAACCAAAGAGCTAGTAAGATCAATAAATTAGAGTCTTGTCTCATATAGTGATACCATAAACCAAAGAGCTAGTAAGATCCGTTCCATACACAAATTCTACAATCACACATGTGTGGAGGTTTACATACCATTGTCTATTGGGAGCAGATGATAAGTATGGTGATGACAGTCTCGCTTTTCATATCATGTTTTTTTCTCGCATTTCCTTTGCGGAGCACACCTTGCCGCTTTGATGTGCCCGCCTTATCCGATGTGCGACCCGCTGCCCTTTCCTCCCCCCTCCTCGCCCTCTCTTCTTCTGCCCTTCTCTCATCCTGGACGCCTTTCAAAAACACGGCCCACCGTGGTTTCCATAGCGCATCAGCGAGCCTCATGTCCTTCACGTTTACTGTCACCCTCTTCGCGTGGATCGCGAGCTCATTTGTATTCTCCATGAGATGCATGAGGTATGCTTCAGCAGCCTCCAGGAGTGCACACATTCCAACCAACTCGAACCTGATCCCACGTCCAGGTGCCACATCTTTGTTGACGATCTCCCGTACAAGCCTCAAGAATGGCGTGAAAGGCAAGCAAAGATGAACAGAGCGTTGCAGGTGGCGGATTTCTGCTAATGTAGCCTGCCCAGGATGTCGTCGCCGCTTTGCAACCCCGGCTTTTCGCTTGGTTGGGACCTTTGTGTCCCCCACAGCTGGTGCATTGCCCTTGCCTTTTGACACGCCGCACTTTTGCTTCTTCGTCTTCTCCATCATCATGTCGTCTGACCTTGCAGATGGTTCTGCACCCCCCATTCTTTCTTTTAACCTCGCACATGGTTCTGCACCCCCCATTCCCTGTTTTAACCTCGCAGATGGTTCTACAACCCCCATTCCCTGTTCTAACCTCGCAGATGGTTCTGCACCCCCCATCCCCTGTTGTAACCTTGCAGATGGTTCTGCATCCCCCATTCCTTGTTCCACATCACCACAACCTGCGCCATTCAAGTTTTCTTCATCTGGCCTCTCGACATCTTTTCCCCCATCCGGGCTCGCCGCCTCTGATGAAGAGTGTGTCTCCTTATCGTGCACACTTTTTCGTTTCCAATCATTGCACATTGTTTGCGAGTCCTCCTCAGGTATGTACTGGATGTAATGCAACAGTCCATCTGTGTATGTCATATGAAATGGAACGCTAAGAGGGTCTCTCAGTATCATGTTGATATCTGCGCCACAGTCGTATGTCATGGGACATACAACCGGCAGCCACCCGAGAAGAGATGCACTCCCGTGGCTGCAACGAATTGTGTCCAGATAGTTGTTTGGTGTGTCCGTTCTGGCATCCCCTGCGTCCATGAAACCCATGATAGACCACATCTCCTTGTCTGGATACGTGTCATATCCCACCATCACCATATGACGGTCCTCCGGCCTTATTTTCGCCCAACATGCCGTTGCGTGTCCCACTAATGTTGTTTTGTCCTTCACTCGAGTGTTGCAAATGAAAACACGTGCAAGGACAACCATAAATTATCAATGTTCCAACAGTCCTGCATGCATCCAACCAATCAGAAACCAGTTACCAGAGTTCAACCTTGCCGCCATGGTCGCTTTGCCATCTACTATGGCTGGATGCAAGACGCCTGGAATCCACTTAACACTGTACCCGTATATGTGAGACGACACGTGTTCATGCAGTTTGCTCAAATCGATGACACTGTCTGCGATGTCATATTCCGGCCGCAACACCTGCATTGTCACCATTGGGTCCCTTATGTCGTAACATTGTCCACAGTATGTAGCTTATGTTCCCATAGACAACTCGTACCTCACGCTCTCAGCCCCTAAGAAAACTTTGTCCTCCGACAACTCCATGCGTACAGGGTGGGCAAGTGGTGGACAAAAATCACCAGCATTATAACCATCATGTGTCATGGCATCCCTCTCTTGTGCAGACACCTCTCTGTCAATAAATCGACATCTGAACTCGCCATTGATGTACGTAGTCTTCCAACAATTTTCCATGAGATCACGCACAAGAATCTTACAATGACCATAACAAAAAAGAATATGTGACGGCACCCACCCCCATTGCACATCCCTTCTAGGATCGTTGACATTAGACACAACATTCATTCTTCCCGTGTCCTCTTCCATCACCCATGACTCACGGCAAACCACACCATCATACAAGAAATCATTGAGCAGTAAATCACCCGCCTCCGAGAGTTCATTCCACATGTCGAGAGAATGACGTGAGACATCTAACAGGGATGCACTGTCATTGAGCCTGATCAACCTGTCCAAAACTATGGCCGCAGTGACATTGCGCCATGTCAGCTCCGTGGGTGGTTGATAAGGAATCCAACTTTCTCCGCATTTGAAGGCTAAGCAGTGCTCACCTCCAATGATGCCAGGTTGTATACAACCAGGTTCCCAATTGATAGCATACTGAAAACATTCCCCGGCATTCGTCCTTTGAACATTCTCGTTAGGCATAATGCACAACATACGGGGAGTGCGATGTCCCGACATCTTCCCTGTTCGCCACTTCTTTACCAATCACGGTCCTGCTATGGCTGTTGCGTCCTCTCCCAAGTTCATCATCATCTCCCATCACCATCTCTTTTGTCCCAACATCCAGTGTCGCCCCTACGCCACACTCCGTCTCCAACCCCCCTTCTTGTGCATTCGTGTGTGTCTGTTGCGCCATTGTCAGGAGAGCTCCCGCCATGGCTTCCACCATGTCTTCTGTTCCGATGTCGATGGTCTCTCCGACTGCCGCGGTTGAAGCATTTAATCCATCCATCTAGTCAACGAGACATGACATGTTTTTGTGAGAAATCTTTGTTGCGAAAACTATTGGTGGGGAGAGAGAGAGAGAGAGAGAGAGAGAGAGAGAGAGAGAGAGAGAGAGAGAGAGAGAGAGAGAGAGAGAGAGAGAGAGAGAGAGAGAG